ACACGCCCCTTTGGGTGTCGTGGTATGTGCTGTGCGTCCACACGCCCCTTTGGGTGTCGTGGTATGTGCTGTGCGTCCACACGCCCCTTTGGGTGTCGTGGTATGTGCTGTGCGTCCACACGCCCCTTTGGGTGTCGTGGTATGTGCTGTGCGTCCACACGCCCCTTTGGGTGTCGTGGTATGTGCTGTGCGTCCACACGCCCCTTTGGGTGTCGTGGTATGTGCTGTGCGTCCACACGCCCCTTTGGGTGTCGTGGTATGTGCTGTGCGTCCACACGCCCCTTTGGGTGTCGTGGTATGTGCTGTGCGTCCACACGCCCCTTTGGGTGTCGTGGTATGTGCTGTGCGTCCACACGCCCCTTTGGGTGTCGTGGTATGTGCTGTGCGTCCACACGCCCCTTTGGGTGTCGTGGTATGTGCTGTGCGTCCACACGCCCCTTTGGGTGTCGTGGTATGTGCTGTGCGTCCACACGCCCCTTTGGGTGTCGTGGTATGTGCTGTGCGTCCACACGCCCCTTTGGGTGTCGTGGTATGTGCTGTGCGTCCACACGCCCCTTTGGGTGTCGTGGTATGTGCTGTGCGTCCACACGCCCCTTTGGGTGTCGTGGTATGTGCTGTGCGTCCACACGCCCCTTTGGGTGTCGTGGTATGTGCTGTGCGTCCACACGCCCCTTTGGGTGTCGTGGTATGTGCTGTGCGTCCACACGCCCCTTTGGGTGTCGTGGTATGTGCTGTGCGTCCACACGCCCCTTTGGGTGTCGTGGTATGTGCTGTGCGTCCACACGCCCCTTTGGGTGTCGTGGTATGTGCTGTGCGTCCACACGCCCCTTTGGGTGTCGTGGTATGTGCTGTGCGTCCACACGCCCCTTTGGGTGTCGTGGTATGTGCTGTGCGTCCACACGCCCCTTTGGGTGTCGTGGTATGTGCTGTGCGTCCACACGCCCCTTTGGGTGTCGTGGTATGTGCTGTGCGTCCACACGCCCCTTTGGGTGTCGTGGTATGTGCTGTGCGTCCACACGCCCCTTTGGGTGTCGTGGTATGTGCTGTGCGTCCACACGCCCCTTTGGGTGTCGTGGTATGTGCTGTGCGTCCACACGCCCCTTTGGGTGTCGTGGTATGTGCTGTGCGTCCACACGCCCCTTTGGGTGTCGTGGTATGTGCTGTGCGTCCACACGCCCCTTTGGGTGTCGTGGTATGTGCTGTGCGTCCACACGCCCCTTTGGGTGTCGTGGTATGTGCTGTGCGTCCACACGCCCCTTTGGGTGTCGTGGTATGTGCTGTGCGTCCACACGCCCCTTTGGGTGTCGTGGTATGTGCTGTGCGTCCACACGCCCCTTTGGGTGTCGTGGTATGTGCTGTGCGTCCACACGCCCCTTTGGGTGTCGTGGTATGTGCTGTGCGTCCACACGCCCCTTTGGGTGTCGTGGTATGTGCTGTGCGTCCACACGCCCCTTTGGGTGTCGTGGTATGTGCTGTGCGTCCACACGCCCCTTTGGGTGTCGTGGTATGTGCTGTGCGTCCACACGCCCCTTTGGGTGTCGTGGTATGTGCTGTGCGTCCACACGCCCCTTTGGGTGTCGTGGTATGTGCTGTGCGTCCACACGCCCCTTTGGGTGTCGTGGTATGTGCTGTGCGTCCACACGCCCCTTTGGGTGTCGTGGTATGTGCTGTGCGTCCACACGCCCCTTTGGGTGTCGTGGTATGTGCTGTGCGTCCACACGCCCCTTTGGGTGTCGTGGTATGTGCTGTGCGTCCACACGCCCCTTTGGGTGTCGTGGTATGTGCTGTGCGTCCACACGCCCCTTTGGGTGTCGTGGTATGTGCTGTGCGTCCACACGCCCCTTTGGGTGTCGTGGTGCGTGCTGTGCGTGCACACGCCCCTTTTGGAATGCACATGGCAACACATCTGGAAGAAGCACAGTTACAAAAGGGCGGTAATTCCCCAAGAACAAACCCTCTGTGACTATGTTGCCCTTACACAGCATCCTTATTGGCAAACCAAGCAGATCTAGCTACCAGTCCTCGATGGGGTTGTCTTTCCTTCTCTTCCTTCTCAGGTCCTTGGTCTGTTAAATGTCCCCAAAGCAGGGTCTTGGCTATCCCAAGGCCCTTTGTCTGACACTATCACAGACTTCTTCAGAGATTAATTGAGGAACTAAATAATTTACTCTGCTTAGCATTTGTACCTCTTGTTCTCAAAGGAATCACATGTTGAAGAAATATGCCCAGTGGGTATTCCATTACTGGCTTGCTAATGAATATTTTAGAAGGGTGCTGCAAAGATCAGTTAACGTTTACCCTCCCATCAGTCATCCACTTATGTTCTGACTGCAGCGTTAGCCCAAAGGGTCGTTTTGACCCAGGTCAGTTTGCTATGATTGTAAGTTTCTTGCCTTGGTGAGCTGGTCATAGTGTTAAGTTGAAACACATATCGATAGTCTTGATTCACCTTGCAAGTGAAGTGTTAGCACTTTCATTAAATTTCCATATCAACTGCCTGCTCCTAGACAGTCCTGCTCCTGGTAAACTCAGATGTACTGAGTCGTATCACACTTGTGTTCACCATATTCATTTGTATCCGACAGAACAATTCTTCATAATGCGGCACCATCTTAAAACCTCAGGTGTTTGTCCTTTCTTTTTATAGCTTCAGTCCTTTTCTTGAGAGAGATTTCCAGGTGGCTACCAGGAGCCAAAAAGTTGATGGGAAAGGGTTCATTAACGTAACCTGTAACATTGAGTCCTTTATCAGTGATGAAGGCAGATTTTTTTTCTGTGCGGCCTTATTGCCAGGAATCTTCTGTTGGATTGAAGGAGCTGAGAAGCTTTGCTCAGCATGCCCAGTGTTTCCGTCCTCGGCATGGGACACGCACCTGGCACTGGGACAGCACCGTAGCGTGCAGTCCTTGAGAGAGAGTCCGAGAGCCGCCAGAATCTTGAGGGGCTGCTAGAGCCAACACGCTCTGTAGCTTTGTACCGGCACTGGGCCGGGCCTTGCAGGGCCTGCTGAAAGGTGGTTTGAGTTAGCATCATCCCTGGCTTGTTAGAAAACACTGGCTGGAAACAGGCCAAGCACACACACCTTATTTAAAACCGGCTGTCCCGGAGCTGCGGGTGTAAAGTTTGTTTAAAATAACAAGCTGTGCGTAGCCCCTGCTCGCTGCGCCCCATCGACATACCCAGGCTGGAGGCGGCAGCGGCGAGGCTGCGTGGAAGCCTGGTGTATCCCAACACCCTCGCTTGTATCTTTGCCCTGATAGTGGCCAGTGCCTGATGATTCAGAGACAGTTGCACAAATTGTGGTAAACAGTGACTCCTGCTGGGGAATATTGTTGTCCTTTATTATTTGATCTGCTCTAACAGACTTGTGAATGTTGTGGTGCTCTCAGCTTCTTCTGTGGGGCCTGTCACCGCAGAATGACACAAACATCTTAGTCCTGTAGGAGCACGGTTACGTTCTTGGCTTTCGAATCCTGGGGCTGAGTTCCACGGGTTAGCTCTGTCCTAGGAAAAGCATTTCCCTTTTAAATGTGTTGCCTTCCGATTTGACTCCCTTGCTGCAGTCTAATAGCGAGGGTAAACAGGAGTGCCTCATGAAAGCCTCTCTCCTTCACTTTTAATGTCTCTTCCACGGCCTCCTTGATTTCTTGTCAACATTGAAATCTCAGTCCGCTCACCACCATCTCTTGCAGAGGTCTTTCCCGGTTCCTACGCACTTTGCCCAGTTCTCAGGGGCGCCCACTGTGTTGGGTGCTGCACAGACATGGAAAGCCATCTAGCTCAAAAGAAAATGCAGCATCTGAGTGTGAAAACGGTGGAAGGGTAGGCAGGACAAGATAACGGTGCTAATATTGTGCACTGACATGTGTATTTTACAATGAACTACTCATTCCATCATCGACAGTCGCTGCCCCACGAGTGTACAGTCGAAGTCTGAAACGAGACTGGAGAGTGACAGGCAGTGGCCTCAGCACACCAGCTGTCTGACTGGTATAGGCATCACAGCAAAGGAGCACTTGAAAGAGGACCATGGGGTAGCTTGTCAGGAGTTTATGGTGAGGGCCTCCCAAATGCAGGGGAGGGGTAGCCTGAGAGAGAGCAGGAAGCTCGTTTATGAAGATGGAGGCTGGAGTTGATTGTCCTGAGGGGCCTTGCAGTGAGCAGACGCAAGGTAGATGTGGTTCAGTAGGGAACAGGGAGCGGGTGGTGTGCTAAAGAGAGACGAGGTCAGCCTGCCAGACTACCCAAAGCATTCTCCGGGGATGTGTTCGGAGCAAGCTGGCATTTCTGGGCGAGGGGGCCGGATGTGCCGTTATCAAGACAGGGATGTGGAGTGCTTGGACTGGGAGGACAGTCGTTACATCCCAAACCAGAGCAGAGTGGGAGTTTACGTTTTCACAGCTGTAGTGTGTCTATTTCCACTGTTGAATCCTCCACCTCTTCTGTTGGCCTTTGTAGCTCTCTAGTTATTTCTGAGGTTCCATTTGTGCAGGCTCTACCTAGTGTGCATTTTTACTAGCCTATTTCTACTTCTTTTTGTCTTTCGCTCTTTTTGTTGGGATTGGAAACTATGGAATGAATGCTGGGGGGCAGAGCAAAATGGGAAGGGGAAGATAGAGGGTTGGAAGGAGAAGAGCAAAAGAGCAGGCAAGAGAAGCAGCGAAGGGGAGGAGGTCAGGAGGCAAGTCAGAAAAATGGGTCTTGTTTCTCTGTTCTCCATGCCTCTGAGTGTCTTCTCGCCCTGTAGCAGTGCTCAAGCAGCATGGCCCTTATGGATTTCAGCTCATGCAGAATTGTCCATGGTTCACTAGGAAGCAGCAGCTTTCTGCTCTGTGTGAGGGAGGGGGCATGGAATGGGGCCAGGCTTTGGGAGAGCATCACTTCTTTACCTCTGGCAATAGAAGGCGAAGGCTGATGAGCTCTGCCATTTCCACCAGAGTTTCTTGGGCTGAGTTTTCTCCCTTCACTTGCTGTTCATTAACCCTGTGTTCTCTGTGCAGAATTCTCCTTCGGAAGCACATGCCCTGGATGAGAACACAGCTGAGGGGTGGGAGAACCGGATCCGGCTCTGGACAGATCAGTATGAAGAAGCCTTTACTAACCAGTACAGTGCTGATGTACAGAACCTCCTGGAGCGGCATTTAAGCTCCAGTAAGGAATTTGTGGGCAAAACTGCTATGCTGGATACAATCAACAAGACAGAACTGGCCTGCAATAATACTGTGATTGGGTCCCAGATGCAGGTAAGAGCCAGTGTGGATAGAGGAGCATGTGTTCCTACGTGGGAGGGCAGGGCTGGGGGAGGAAGACGACAGTTTTGGCCCCAGATGCAGACAAAGGCATGGCTGTGTAAGAATTTGCAGTAGAGCTTGTCAGGGCATTGGAAAACCTCATCTGGAAGCCTGGGTCCAGTTCTGGTCAGCTACCTTCAAGCAAGATGAATTTGACTCGGGGCGCTCAGGCTGAGCTCTTTCAAGAGGAGATGAGCGCTTGGCTTGCGTAGCCTGCAAGGGGATGTGTCTGGCGTCTGAGCGTGTGTCTGAGCGAAAAGAGCATTCTTGGCACAGGAACAAGCAGGTATCAGCTGGCTGGGGAGAAATTCAGGCTGACAATTAGAAGATTTCTAACCATGAGCGAATGTCTCTGGAGTAGCCTCCCAATAGGACTAGAACAGGCAAATAATCGAACCAGACAGGATTATGTGCCAGGGAACTGTGGGGTGTACCTGCCATGCTGCTCCTGCACACCTGCTGCTCCTCCCAGGCCTCATGGCACAAGCTGCCTCCGAGAGAGCCAGCACCCAAGTCCGAGCATGGTGCCAAATCCAATACCGGGGCAACACAGTGGGCCTCAATGTCCAAGGAGCTGTCCCTGGATGAGCAAAGGGGAAGCCACCCTTCCCTTGCCGTGCACTTGTGTTGGTTTCTGGGCGAAGTGAGCAGCACCCCAAGGAGCCGCCTGTGAGTTACCTGTACGGCTGCTCTCAGTGGGATCCCTGGTCGTGTCTGCATCAATGCAAGGGCCCGGCGTGTGGCAAACAAGCATGACAGGAAAGTTGTAACAATCAGCCTGTAGTGTCAGATGTCCGACCATCAGGCCCTGCCAGGCAGGTACAACTTCAGCCTGAGCTCAGGAGTTTGCTGCCTTGCAAGAGATGCCCTCCAGATGGCCTGGAACATGACAGACTGGCCATAAGGCACAGTGCTCTGGGCTGTCCCCATAGATGCAGGATACTCCTCAGGCCCCTTTCTGGATAGGACTGAAGCACAGCTCCATGTTCTTAACGCTCCGTTCCCTGGCCAGCATGCCCATCAGCCATCCCAGCCTATGCCACTCCCTCGAGCTCCTGGGATGTCCTCTGGCCAGCTCTCAGGAAGGAGGGCTCAGACGGGATTGCAAAGGCATCATTCCTTGTCTCCCATTTCTCTACCCAACCTGCTTTCAGAGGGCAAGGAAGCCAGAAGCAGGTGAGGCTGGTGCCCTACCGACTTCCTAGGATCATAGACTCCTAGAATCCCAGGGCCGGCAGAGACCTCAGGAGCCACCGAGTCCAGCCCCCTGCACAAAGCAGGAGCAACCCCAACTCCATCAGCCCAGCCAGGGCTTTGTCAAATCGGGACTTAAACACCCGTAGGGATGGAGACTCCGCCCCTCCCCAGGGAACCCAGCCCAGCGCTTCCCACCTGCCTAGTGAAATAGTTTTTCCTAATCTCCAACCTAGACCTCCCCCACTGCAACCTGATCCCATTGCTCCTCGTTCTGCCACCTGCCCCCACTGAGAACAGCCTCTCTCCAGCCTCTTTGGAGCCTCCCTTCAGGCAGCTACAGGCTGCTCTCAAATCCCCCCTCACTCTTCTCTTCTGCAGACTGAATAAACCCAAGTCCCTCAGCCTCTCCTCGTAGGCCATATGCTCCAGCCCCCTCGGCATTTTGGTCGCCCTGTGCTGGGCCCTCTCCAATGTGTCCACGTCCTTTCTGTAGTGGGGGGCCCAGAACTGGACACGATTCTCCAGATGTGGCCTCACCAGAACTGAGTAAAGGGGAACAATCACTTCTCCATATCCTGGTCTTTCCTCAGCGGCCTTTGCTTCTTCCATTCGAGCCTGTTGTGGTACACCCTGCAGTATGCCGACCGTCCTCCAGCCCCCATTCTCCTTCCCTCTTCAGGGACCGTTCCCACGGGAAACCAGCACCTCCTACTCCTGGGGCTGATAGAGAAGACCCTACCAGACGTGAAGGGGAAAGGGTTCTACTCTGCAAGAGGGAGCCCTAGACCCATTCTAGACCAGGTCTCGCAAGGGGGGCATTTGGCATGGTCTCTCTGGCCTTCATTATTTCTCAGGGCACAGGCATTGCCTCCATTTTGTGTTGGGCCAATGCCGTTTCCAGTTCCCGGCCCTGCGCTTGGGTCTCGTGTGTGTACTCGGTGCTGTTCCATTACACCGCAAGGAGTTTCTTGGAGCGGTCCTCGGCTCTATTCCGGCCGGAGCCCGGATCTCATGAGTGCAGGGCTGCCGTCTCACCACCACCCTCGCGTGCCTGGGATTTGGGCCACATGGTGTCCTGCACTTGCGTGGTTCCGCCGGCCCCTGAGGCTGTGGCTGTCTGGTCTTCATCCCCAACACACACAGTGAGGACCAGGTGGTCAGTGCTACAGGCCGCATCCTGGCCTCGCTGGCCCAGCGGCAGAGTGCTGCATTGGTGCTGGGGAGGTTCCTTTGTGGCGCCGTCCCTGTCGGTGCCCTCGTTTCTGATGCCTCAGACAGGGATCTTAGATCGTGGGTAATTGAATTGTCACGTAACTGCCCAAGTTCTTATTGGTTACTCAACTATTCTGCCAGCTAGTGCAATCCAGCCTGGCTCCCAGGGAGCCCCCCTGCCTCACGGTGCTGCCTCTCTATCCGGAGCAGCCGCTCAAGTGCCTTGCAAAGCGGCTGCCTATCGCCCCACACTGCTGCCTCTGATACTGAGGGGGCAGCATGGAGTGGCAGCAGCTCGTCTTTGGGGGGGTCCAAGCTCTGTCCAAGCTGCCTCCCCTGCCCCATCCCCATGCTGTTGCCCCTGATAGAGGAGGCAGCACCAAGGAGCCAGTGCCCACCTGGGTGACCTCAGCGTGCAGAGTTGTTGGGTGAGTGACGATCGCTCCCTGTGCATCGACATCAGAGAGCTCAGAGCAGTTTGCCTGGCTTGCCAGACCGTCCTGATTCCCAGAAAGAGCAGAGAGCTCCAGGGCCTGCTGGAGAACAGTGCAGCAAGGCGGAGCCAGTTATCTGTGCTTTGCCAGAAGAGCCTCGGGTTCTGGGATTTGTGTATGACGCTCCTGGGTGCACATCTCTCCAGGGCCCAGCATGCACTGGCAAAAACACGAGCGGCCCCTGCGTGTGGAATGGTCAGCTTCATCTCCTGGGGCTGGGGGGCACCCAGGCAGAATAGGGGCCATTTGGGGGTGGAGAGACACTCCTGCTCAGGGCTCTGTTCTATGCCTTCCTCCAGTGCCACTGGGAGAGTCCTCATGGAAGTCAGGCAGGCGGGGAAGAAAAGGATCTTCTCAGCGCAGGCTTGGCCATGCCAGCACTGCCTCCTACGCTGCCAGACTGGATGGCTGCTCTGTTTCAGCTGTAGCTCAGGCTGGACCTGCTGTCACAAAGCCACCTCTGTCTCTTGTACTCACACCTGGTGGTGCTAAAGCCAAGGTGGAGGAGTGCTCAGTTGCTGCTCAGATGGGGGGGGTTCGCTTGTTGGACCTCCTGTAGAGGTATTCAGCCTGAGCGAACCTTGCGCTGCCTTTGGCATCTCAGGCTCCAAGGCCTGTTCTTTCATCCATCGTGGTCCGCTTGGCTCTTTCTGCCATCCGTCCGCTGCTCACAGTAAGGTCTGTTTCACCCAGGACATGGCTGCCTGCTTACTGCTCATGAGGGGCTCCACTCCACTGTGAACTTGAATCTTATGCTGCAGCTGCTCATCGGCTCCCTCTCCTCCCCCCCAAGCCTCTGGTTCCTGCTGTCTGCTCCTCCTGCCCTGGAAGACCACTTCCGCGCTGAGCGCCTGAGGGCTCACCTTGGAGCCACCCTCTATGGTTTCTACAAAGCAACCCGCGTGGCTTTGCTGCCCAAGGTAGCTCTCAGTGTCCCGGGCCCGGGAGAGTCTCCCTTGTCTCTTCTCTAGGTGGCATGCGTGGAAGGAGCAGTGCAGGTCGCCCTCCTGAGGCCTGGGGTGCACTGAAAGGGCCAAGCCATTCCACAGGTTCACATGATTGTCCCTCATGGGTAGTCAGTGTCCACTGGAAGGACGTTTTTCTGGATCGCCACTTCCCTTCTCTGCTGCTGCCTCAGAGTTGCCGGCCGCAAGGTGCGGGGAAGTTGGAGGCGCGCCCGCTCGGCGCAGAGAGGTCCCCGGGGAGTTCCGGGGCAGTGGGCTCTACTGACGTCTCCTGGCCCTCAAGCCCGTTCTGGACCTAGGGAAACTGAACCTCTTCATCACGAGGCTCACGCGTCGCGTGGTCTCCCTAGCTGCCGTCACTCCCCCTGGATCCAGCTGCCATAGAGAGCTGGGAGCACGTCTCCTTCAGCCGATCACCCCGGCTCCCACGTGACTTTTCAGATTTATGGTCTGAGATGCCACCCGCAGCTCACAGGACTGGTTTGGCCTTTCCGCCCTCTCCAGGCGTGCACGGTGGTCGCTGCCCTGCCGCAGGACTTCTGTCCATCCCTCGACGAGTGGCTGATCAGGGAACAGGCTCTGGCACATGTGGCCCTGGCCATGACCACAGTCTGGACTCGCCTCCCCTGCCCCTGTCGGAGAGCTGCCAGCGTTGGGCCGGGCCTGCAGCGCATCTCGGGACTAGCCGACAGCACCAGCCCGGGTTTTAGCACATGGGACCCTCGTTCCTCTCCCGTGCCGCAGGGCGCTCTGCACTGTCCATAGCAATCACCTGTGCACTTCCTGCCTGCCTGGGGTGCAGAACGCCCTCGTGCGCTGCCTCCGCTTTGCCCTGCGCACCCACTCACGGCCGATTCGGGCGGGCATTGCCGGGTCCTGTTCATGAGGAGCAACCACAAGTGCCCTGTTTTGCTCCTTTCAGGTTGACTGCTGTACACCTTCCACCACCCCTCATTGCAGGGCCCTGCTCTCCGGCTGGCAGCACTGGTCACCACGCTCCCGATCCTGTCGGTGCACAGTCCCACTTCCCGGACCTGATCACCCAGGACTGTGGCCACCTCCAGCATCCCAACCTGGAGTCCCTCCACCTCGTGGTGTGCAGACTCCGTGGTTGGCCAAGTGTGAGCAGCAGGGCTTGAAACCTACACGTGAGGCGCGTCTGGAAGGTTGTATCCTCAGGTCAAGGCCCTGATTGCACCCTGGGACCTGGCCCCGGTCCTTTCTAAGCTCACACGACCCTGGCAGCTTGCCCCGCATCCCTCTCCTGGAAGGTGCCTTGGCCAGACGGGTCCATGAGCTCTCACTTCAGAACCACCTTACACCATCTTTCAACCGCACCCACCCGGCACTTCTGCCTGAGGCGGTTTCGCAGTCTCCTAGAAACCAGCCTGTGTTCTTTCCTGACCCCTGAGCTGTTGATGGGAAAGGGGCCCTCCGGTTGCGAGGCCTCAGCCCTGTGCTGGCTGTACAAACAACGCCGCTCTTCACTGCAGTAGCGGAGAGGATGAAAGGCGCTCCCCCCCTACCCCCCAATGCCTCCAGCCTCTGTCACATCCTGCTTCCGGGTGTGCTGTGTCCCAGCACTGGCACTGATGCACGTTCCATAGGGGCAGGCCTCCTGTAGCATTTCTCACCCAAGTCCTGCCCAGGACATCCGTCGCCCGTCGCGCCTCTCAGCCGGCCTTGGCAGGGTGGCCCTGCCGTCACGGAGCAGACTCATAGCACACTAGGACGGGAAGGCCCTTGAGCACCATCGAGTCCAGCCCTTGCCCCACATCGTCTAGGCCTGCCAGTGGGTCTCATCCGGCCCGTGCGGCAGTTCCAGGCCCCACCCCTACTGGGCGTGCCCAGCCTGTGGCACGTGTGTTGTGGGGGAAGGAGCTCGGCCCCGCGCAGCCGCTGGAGGGGAGGCTCCCCGATGGCGGCGCGGTCCAGGGCCGGCCTGGCGGCAGCACCTCTAGGGCTGACCCACGACCGCGTGGCTGCGGCAGTGGTGCCTCTGGCCCAAGGGGGCGGCTGGGCCAGCGGGCTGCAGCAGTTGCTGCAAGGAGGCACGAAGCCAGGGAAGGTTTCCCCTCACTTCCCTGGGAGCGTGGGGGGGTTGGAGGAGTTTTTTGGCTTCTCACCTGTGTGGGCCTGATGCACGACCCAGAAAGGGTTCCCCACCCCCGCCGTAAATAAAGAAAACATTGAAGCCTTTTGTGCCGGGCAGGTACTTTCCTTAGCTTATCAAACTCCCTTTGAAATAAGCATGAGACAGTGAAAACGCTTGATCTGTTGGATCATTTTAATTGACCCATTCTCCCGAGTTGCTGCTGGTTCCGAAAACAAGGTCACCACACCCAGCAGAGTAGTTCTCAACCCTGCTCCTTCCACCCAAGGCTCCGCCTCTTCCAGGTCCACCCGTGGCCACTTCCAAAATTTGTGACATGGCCCCCCCCTTCCAAACTTATTGCCCATGCCTGCTCTAGCCCATCCCTGACAGGTGTCTGTCCAGCCTGCTCTTGCATATCTCCCGGGACGGAGAATCCACAGCCCCCTAGGCAATGTATTCCAGTGCTTACCCACCTGGACAGGAACTTTTTCCTGATGTCCAACCTAAACCTCCCTTGCTGCGGTTTAAGCCCATTGCTCCTTGTCCTGTTCTCAGAGGCCAAGGAGAACAATTTTTCTCCCTCCTTCTTGTGACACCCTGTTAGATATCTGAAAACGGCTATCATGTCCCCCCTCAGTCTTCTCTTTTCTAACTAAACCAGCCCAATTCTTTCAGCCTTCCCTCACAGGTCATGTTCTCTAGACCTTTAATCATTCTTGTTGCTCTTCTCTGGACCCTCTCCCATTTCTCCACATTTTTCTTGAAATGTGGTGCCCAGAGCTGGACCCCGTATTCCAACTGAGACCTAATCAGCACAGAGTAGAGAGGAAGAATTCTGGTTCTTCACACAGCGCGTAGTCAACCTGTGGAACTCCTTTCCAGAGGAGGCTGTAAAGGCTAGGACTATAGCAGAGTTTAGATAATTATCTAGAAGCTAGATAATTTCATGGAGGTTAGGTCCATAAAAGGCTATTAGCCAGGGGATAGAAATGGTGTCCCTGGCCTCTGTTTATCAGAGGCTGGAGAGGGATGGCAGGAGACAAATCACTTGATCATTGTCTTCGGTCCACCCTCTCTGGGGCACCTGGTGCTGGCCACTCTGGGCAGACAGGCTACTGGGCTAGATGGACGTTTGGTCTGACCCTCTGTGGCCATTCGTATGTTCTCATGTTATGTTCTTAAGAATGACTTTGTGTCTTGCTCACAATACTCCTGTTAATGCAACCCAGGTGATCTCCAGCCCCTCCCTGGGGAACCTGCTGGTGAGTCACCTGTTAGAATGCACATGCACAATCGCTGGAAGAAGGAAAACGGTTACCTGCCTCTCGTAACTGTTGCTCCTCGAGCTGTGTTGCTCATGTCCATTCCACATCCCACCCTCTCCCCTCTGTCGGGATAATAGTTCAAGAAGGGAAAGGCCAGTGGTGTCTTCTCTACTGCACCTCGGAAGCGCCATGCGAGGAGGCTCCGCAGCCGACCCGATGGGGCCATGGAGGGACGCAGACACCTGTTAGACTGGACATGCGCAACACCTCTCCGAGCCCACAGGTACGAAAGCTACGGAACCGTTTTTCTGCCCCCAAGCGGCAGCAGGGCTGAAGTACCAGGTGGCCTCATTACTCAAAGAAAGGACACTTGGGGTAAGCAGAGACACATTTTCCTACCCCCACGAATAGACCTTTTTCCAAGCCATTGTCTGGGGGTGAGCAGTGTAACGAGCTGGTCAGAATTCCCGGGGCCTCTGTTCTAGGGCTCGTTGTGAGCTCTCTTGTTTCCATTGCAGTTGCAGCTGGGAAGAGTGACTCGGGTTCAGAAACACCGGAAGATCCTGAGGGCAGCCCGAGACTTGGCCTTAGACACCCTTATCATTGAGTACCGAGGCAAGGTGATGCTGCGGCAGCAGTTTGAGGTCAACGGGCATTTCTTCAAAAAGTAAGAGTGCTGCTCCGCGACCCGTGAGAGAACACGAGGGGCGTGGGGGGCCCTGCTGCCAGGGGCTGGCAGTTGTGTGCTGGGCATAGAAAGTTAAAGGAAGCTACAAAGTGGCCCGGATCCCTTTGGATGAGATTCCCGCAACTGAGCCATTCTTCGCAGCTGGCTTCCCTGAAAAGCTGTCCCAGGCTGAGGTGTCACTAGAGGCGGTTTCGAAACAAGCGGCTCAAGAGTAACAAATCCCCGGCGCTGGTGGCACTCGCCCAAGAGTTCTGAAGGAACTCCACCGTGAAGTGACACAGTGCTGACCTATCGCTGCCAGCACCCTCTGCTCCAGATCCCTGGGCATGGCTCATTGACGCTGCAGAAAAGGCTCTGGAGCCCATCTTGACAGTCGCTGCCCAGTAGGCCTCGCGTCAGTGCCAGGCAGACTGCTTGGAAATATAGTCAAGAACATTATCAAGGCCCCGGAGTGCGGGGGAAGGGCCAAGGGAAACGATGCCCCCCCCGGCATTCTGTGAGGTGTG